GGTGTGTTATTTTATAAACACACAGAAATTACAACCTGTTCACAAATAACGTGTCTGTTAAAAATAACATTACTTGTCGATCATAACCCCGTATATTACAAGTTCATTGTTACTTCAGCCATGATGAAATATTTGCTGAAAAAAGACAATCACCAACAAACTCTTTCTATGTGACACACTGGTGACATTAATTTAAGTCTTTGAATGTATATTGTTAAACTAGAACTTATTCAGTGAAATAACTTATGAAACAAATTTTTCTGAAACAATAATATGTACAATATAATATTTAAAAGTATGACGAAATCAAACGGCAATTTATAGACCAATATTATTGTGTGCTTTTTATTATTTCTCTTTGCAATTGCATTTATTTACTATTTCCTGGATAATATTTCACAAGATCTTCAAAGTTTTATTAATAATCATTGGATGGTTATTAACTTATGCTTAATTGAATATGTTTCTGTTCATGTTTTGGATAACCAAGAGCAAGTGGATGCTATATCTATTTATAAAGAGTTCTAAAGCTTTGGATAAGGTTGATCCTAGAAACATGGTCTCACAATTGTTTAATTTAGGTTTCTCTAGTGTGTATTTTATATTACATTAACTTATTTAGGTACCTGACGCATAATGTAATTTGTGAATTGCTTTGTAGAAAGAAAATTGTTGGCAGTAAAGTTATTAATATTATCACCCCACCATCTAATGTTACTAAACAAAATGGGTTTTTTTATCTCTCGAGTTAATGAATATTAGTTATGAATATCACATATCTAATTATTATTTGAATTTATGAAAGAAAAATTGTTGGCAACAAAATTATTTTTTATATTACCACTCCATTTATTAATTGCTATTAAACAACATGAGTGTAAACACAATCAAATTACTTGAATTTTTTAACCCTTTTTGGTGAAGTTTTATTTATTCATTTAGAGAAATATCTGAATGCAATATTTTAGAAATTTAGTACACTTTTGGACATATACTGTCAAAGAAATGATATAAAATCGTAATTTTTAAAAACCGTTGCGACAATTTATTCTACATCTTTTGGTCAGGTTTTTCTATTAATATTAGTTCCGTTCTAAGTAGGTACATATTATAGTTTGTATGTTTTATGCTTTATTTTATTACATGTAATAAATGATAGGAAATATACTTTTATAGTAAATAAATTGATTAAAGCAATATGTAAGAATAAGTTTATCTAAGGATTAAATTGTTAAAGCAATTTTTTATTTCCATTGTTTATTAATTTGTTTCATTTAATTCTTTCTTATTGAGTAAGTTATTTCATATAAATATGCAATACATGTAAAATGTAATAGTTTCTTTTAAATAGGTATATATTATGTTTGTATAAAATATTGTTCAGTTAATAAAAACAGAAATATTGTTCAGTTAATAAAAACAGAAATATTTTGTCTTTTATTCAAAAGAAGTTTGTAAATTTTTCAAAATATATTTACCTACCCTAAAAAAAGATTAATAAAACCAGTTAGTCATATACACATTTTCTATATATTTATAGAGGTACTTTTTTAATAACTTTCAATACATTTGAAATCTGTGGTTTTATTAAACTCAATGTAATAGGTATTCTCTAGGTATTCTCAAAAATATTTAAAAATAAGATCGAGATGGGACTCTTGTATATTTTAGTGACTATTCGCCTATGGTTAGTGCACTGCTGTATGTTCCTGGGTTTTCTACATTAGAACAATACTGCTTCTCCACTCTAGCAGTATTTTTTGCATCTCACAAAATTATATTTATTAAAAAACCAAGGAATTGTTTTGGGCTTATTGCTGTGCCCTTTTCCAACATCCCCAAAGTTTTTTTTTAATTTCTGCTGATTGAATCTCCGATAGCGACAACTCTATTTGTTGTTCCACTAGTTTTTTATCAAATTTTTAAAATAACTTCTATATATTTATCTTTTGCAACGACTTTGCTTACCTGCTTCATAATCTCTTCCCTATGCCCCAATTTCTTTAGCAGGTGAGATCTTATACTCGCTCTATTAAATCAAATTATCATTATAGTTTATTTGAAAATGCTTGGTAGTACAGTTTTTATGGCAAAGGTACATATTTTTATATAATTTTGCTATTATTCATTTTCAAATAAACTATAGGAATAGGAGTAATCTATCAGTTTTTCTAAAAATACCTTGTTACCGATGTAAGTATATCTTTCCCTAGTTAAAAAATTCGAGTTTTTATTTTCATATTATAATATAAATAAATGACCGGTTAACAATCACATTCTTTTAAATATTACATTTGACATTGAAGTAGGTATTTTCTCCATATTACCAAACAGGAACAGATGGTTTACTTGTAATTTGAATTATATTACATAAATCTCACTGAATTTCTCTATAACTTTCATAGCAATATGTACACAAAACACTTATCCAATAATATATATAACCATGTAAAAATTACATTTCAAGAACGAGAAAATTTATAAAACCGGTCCTGTCTGAACAGATCTAGGACTATGGAGGATAGAGAAAAGGAGGACAATCTTATATGGATCTTTATATTAAAAAGTGGCCACCAAAATGTATACAATTAAGATGGCGCTCGTGTAGCCAGGGGACAAAATCCAATGCTATATAGTCATATAGATTGCTCATTCATAATTAAATCAGACAGGAAGCAGTAAATTGAGACCTCCGTGCCATTTTAATATAAGAATTATTTATTGTTTATATTATTATTTTTCAATAAAATTTGACTATTGTCGTGTATTGTCAAAATTTATCTACGATCACAGAACACTTACTCTTCTACGATCAGTCACTTTTCATGGTGTAGTTTTTAGTTTTTTATGGTTGAGCAATATTTATTACTATATACATCATTGGTGTCATTGTGTGATCTGAATTATCGACTGTCGACGTCCCCTGGGCACAGAAGCGCCATCTTAATTGTATACATTTTGAGGGACACTTTTTGTATACAGAGATTGTTCTCCTTTCCTCTACCCTCCATATCTAGGACAATCAAATAGGTTTGTCAAAGTTTTGTTCTTAATTTGAAATTGGAAATTGTGCGTCTCACTCACTTATAACTAATAACAAAGTGCAGATTTTCGGTGTTCACGTATTACAGAACACACAAACTAAAAATCAGTGTAGCCAAAACATAAATTTACCTAACATGGCGACAAGCTTGAATGGGGTCATTTTTTTGTATTGACAGCATACGCCAAGCGGTGTCTAGACTTTCTGAGGGCTATGGCTATGCTCTATGATGTTCATTACTATTTTTGACATTAATGACATATGTATTTCCTTGAACCGTTCTTAATGAAACTTTTCAAAAACAGATAGAGCATTTTGATGATGCTGTTCTACACTTTTTAGAAGATATTTCCAAATAGTATTACTCTTTTTACTAATGGTATTGTTAGCGAAATAAAAAAGGGAAATCCGAAAATAAAGAATGTGGCAATATCATGTACATTCCCAAATCTACCTTTATGTATTATAACAATAAACAATCTGCTCTTGAGGAATGCAATCCAATACATATCGCACAACAATGGATAATTGACTTAAGTTTACTACATCTGTGGTTTCATCAAGCGCAATTGATACGAAAGGTGCTTTTTTAATTTCACTTTTATTGTGATCCATCACAACGTCGGCAGTGCATTTAATTAAACAATTTTGGATTCTGTTTGAGGTACCTCGGAAAGTCGTCGAATCAATAAAATGATTTTTTAGGGTATCATCTTGTTTTGCTAAAAAACTTAGAAAGTCCATGTAATTTTTTCGATTGGCGGATCCACTTGCTTCATTGTGACCCCTAAAACGTCATGCTCTCCCAGGAAACAAGTTACATCTATTAATCGTTGTAAGACGTCCCTATTTTTTTTTACTCTTTCATTGTGAATTTTGTTGCTTATTTTTAAATGATTGTCCAAACTATGTTCAATGCGATAGGTCCCGAATGTTTTTTCTTTAATTGTAGCACTTATATGAGATTTTCTATTTACATGTTGTTTTACACTTTTGTGAAAATTATTCAAGTCAGTAATACCGACTGAGTTCCAATGTGTTTTTTCGACTATATTAAAAAGTAGGCAAGGCCAGCAAAACAATTTCTTTAAAGTTTTGTAGCCAGGTAACCATTCATACTTTTCATAGAACCCTACGTGAAAATGCATGGTAAATTTCTTTATTGATTTTTCTACTTTCGTCTCTAGATTGATAGGATTCTTTAGTCTATTAGAATTAATAATGTCCGTTTTCTCTTCAAAATTTCTTTTAAAAAATCATTTTTTCAATAAAGAGCACACAATAAAGACACAATTTACCACATTATTATTGTTCACAGGCACAGTGCATAGGTTCTCCATTAAAAAAAAAAAAACAACTACGAAAAACAAACCGAAATCTACCTCAAATCTAAGATTTTTTGCTTACGTCGATTCGCGGTGCGAATTGCAATATGCGTAAGGCGACGTAATAATCGCTGCCTCTCGACCGAATTTCACGTGCCCAAACAGACTGACACTGTCGCGGCAAACGAGGGTCAATAACACTAAGCAAAATCACTTGCAAGATGAACTGGCTATTCCAAGACGCGCTTCCGCCGACGGACTCAAAGTATATGGTGTGTACGTTTACACAATTAATTTTCATATGGGTGGTGGTGGTGGTGCGTTTACACATTAAACCAATGAATTGTTAGTACATTTACGAAGTTTACGTAATGTTTCAGAGAAAATATAGTACCTAATTTAATATTAATTTCTATGCATTGTAAACTTAAAAATATTTATTTTTAAATTTCAAAGTGTAGGGAAGCGGTGCTTCCCCCGCTTCCATTGACCGCACGCCCCTGGTATTCTCGTATTATACCTTATAATAAACACTGAAAGTTTTTTACCTACAACTGTAATAATTTTCATTATTTCGTAAGGATAATATTGAAATTTGCGTGGGGATTTCTTGGGAATTTATTTAAAAAAAACTATATATAAGATTCATATTTCATCATTTATTTATCCATTCATTAACGTAAGTATAAATTTTATTCTGTAAAAAAATCACTTTGTGATTACTTATGTATTTTCAGTAAGGCGTGTATTTTGGTCTAGAAGTAGATCAAACCAAAATGACGGTCATTAGTTTCATTACCTATTATTTAAATGTGCTTTTAAAAATGTTTAATCACCAGTCATCATTTCCATAAATTCTGAAACAATAAATTGAAACATATTAGTTCTTACATTCAAGGTTTTAGTCAAATTGAAGTAGTGCAAAATTTGCAAGTTTTTTTTTACAACAATTTTTAAAAAACCTTATTTACGTCCGCAGAAAAACATTTTTCTGTATTTTGAACTATAGATAAAAACGAATGACCTAGTACATTTGCATTGAATAAAATTCAAAAACAGTTAATTATGTAAAAAATCCTTGGTCGAAAAATACAAATCAACAACACAATCTAATTGATGGAGTCAGGTTTAATTTTAGATTTAAGTCTATTTAAAAATAGAAGTCTTTTATATTGGTAAATAATATTAATTTATTTCATAGGACATCTTGTCAATGTTTCAGTTGTGCTGAAATATTTTAGATAACCTGATGAAAACAATAAACATGTAGAGAGTTCTACAAGTAGAAAATAGTGTTTTTTTTTATTGTTCCGTTCCCAGTTTGGCAAAAAGGAACGAACACTTATGGAATCACATCGGTGTTTGTCTGTCAGTCCGACTGTCTCTCGGTCTATCAGAAGCGTTTTACTCAGAGACTATTAGACATATACAATAATTGAAATTTTGAACAATTGTAGTGAGTATGGGCCCAAATATAGGCGTTATCTAATAAAGTAGTTTTTTAAACTTGTACTCAAAAGGTACTAGTCATTTTCGGGGTATGAAATCAAAAATAAAAAAAATCTGATGCCATCATGTGGGGTGCGTGAAATGAAAGCTCCTTAAAAACGATTTTTAAAGTGTATAATACATTCGTTTGCCTTAATCTTTCTGTCTCAAAAAAACCATGAAAACCATGAAAAGTCCATGAAAATATGAAAAAAAATCACGAACGATGAGAATAAACGAACATTATCAAGACTACATTTTTATACGAACAATATTTACCTACCTACAGGTAATTATCTCATTATAACTCTATACAGTGAGCATCATAAGTTTTACCCCCCTAACTAACTCGTTACTGGGGTCTTGTTAGGAAAATCGCCGAGATAGGTCGATTTTTGATTTCTACAATGTACATTTTTGCATGATTATTTTACCCTTAATTTCATCCCTTACTGGAGGGTAGCAACCCTTTCGAAAAATTTAAATGGCATGGGGTGGTGAGTGATAGCTCATTTGAAAGGGGGTTTAATTCTCTATTTAACCGTGCAAAAAATTTTAAAATTTGCTTCATTACGTGTTGATTTATTAATGTTTAAAAATAACAAAACCTCACAAAATAGGAAAGCAACTGAACTATATAACAGTGACCTTCTAATGGCAAAAAGTCTTACTTCACGTCTGAACCAAAACCGAAATCATGCAGGGCCGAATTTTAATTCTAAGGATGAGTGCGCTACGTTAATTTCCGTTGTTCTAAAACAACAATTAGTCGAGAATTAATGAAGGAAATTTCAAATTTTTTTACACGGTTAAATAGAGAATAAAACCCTCTTTCAAATGAGCTATCACTCACCACCCCATGCCATTTAAATTTTTCGAAAGGGTTGCTCCCCTCCAGTAAGAGATGAAATTAAGGGTAAACTACTTATACGAAAATGTATATTGTAGAAATCAAAAATCGACGTGTCTCGGCCATTTTCCTAACAAGACTCCAGTAACGAGTTATATAGGGGGTAAGACTTATGGTGCTCACTGTATATTATCAAGAAAGAAGGCAAAAGAAGGCGTCAGAAGCCTTAAGTATCAGGCTTCATATTGTGAGCGGGTGGTATAACCAGAGCTTCCACTACGGAACATGCAGTAACCCACAAGTCTCATGGTGGACACCTGTATAGTATTACAGAAAAACTGTAGTTTGGATTATTAAAAAAGGTTGCTGTTTGTATTTAAGTACAACCTCTACACAAGTATAGTGGGGGACCTCCGAAGTTTGAAATAAATAAATTAGACTGGTGTACTGCATTTTTAACACCATTTCAAAAAAAAAATGCTCAAAAGTTGTCTAGATTGTTTCCTATATCCCTAGCGGAGAAACATTTACTTTTGTGATGCCAGTAATATTATAGTGCTACATTGTTACGTTTTTTCAACGTTACTGGAATTAAGGAGACTAGGGGTGGCGTACACACTTCTAGTGAGATTTAAGTGGAATAAATACGTTAGTGTGTAACAATTAAATTTTTTTATAATATTAGATCGAGCGCTTTCGACTTGAAACGACATGTGATGTTAAAACTGTTAAAACTTACGTCTAAAAGGACGTATGTAAACTGGGCCCGCGGCCAAGAGATTATAAAGGGTACGGATTAAATGTCGTTAATCTCTTTGTAAATTGGGCCCACGGCTACATTTTATTTCTAAGAAAATGTTTCAGGTATAAAAACAAATATATGTATTATAATATTTATCAAATACAATACAACAAAAGTCATAATTACAATAAACATAAACACATACTTAAACCTATATATACATCATTTATTAAATTTACCACACAATTTTTTAACCATATCAAATTTACATAATACTTGGTTTTTACAATCATCAATTGTCTTATCAATATAAATTTGTTTTCTTCTAATGCAAGTTCTGTTTAGTTTTTGGCCCCTTATGCTACTATGTATTTTGCATTCAGCTAGGGATTGGAATTCAATAAGCACTTCACAAAAACTAAAAATATTCGGGTGACTTTTATAAAAACTATTGGCAAAATGATTGGGGAAGGACTCACAAGCATTTGTAGTACGAGACATTGAAGAAGTTGCCTGTGCCCAAATATATGGTGGGTAAATTGAATCTTCTGCTATATTATGTTTCCACAATTTAGTCTGCAAATTGTATTATGCTCTCTTGGTTAGGAATAATTGCAATGAAATCTTCATAAAAACAATTTTCCACGTCTTCCGGATTTAAATAGGGCAATCCAAATATGTAATGAAGCCATTTACTTTCTTCAGATTGAACATCCTCATAAACTGAAGACAGACCTAAATTTACTATTTTCCTGTACCATGCTTGTGTTAAATGAAACAAGTAACCTTTTACAGTGGAATTGGGAAACACTGTATTTAAAGATGTATGAATGGCTTTTTCAAAATCAATTATAAACATGGAAGGCTTAAAAATTATAGAAAATGATGAACATTGTTCTAAAATGGTTTGGAACAAAATATTATAAGTTTCCAAACGTTTGTTGGGCAATAAAGAATAAATAACAGGAACATAATAATTATTAACAAAGCTGATATGAGAATTGGGGACAATACTGAAAAATTCCGTCGAGATAAAGGGGATTTACTAAAGATGCTTGGCACATAAATGATAAATTCGAAACATTTGAAAAAATAATAATGTTTGACGCTCGGTCATTCTTTAATAAAAAGTTTTCGCCCTTTAAAGTGTGAATTTTCAAAGCATCTAGCGCATCATGGACATCTTTGATATTTTTTGGTAGTGGGGGTAGCTTACTTCTTTTATAATTATACAAATTTCTTTTCATACAATTAACATCTTCCCAAGTCATTTTCAAATCAGGATTCTTTTTAAATTCCATATGTATTTGTTTGGAGGGTTCTTCAGTAATATCCTCAATGGCCCTCCTTTTTAAGGAATTACTAACTTTCTGGCGATCTGTTTTTTCTGCGTCTACATCATGATTGTGATTTAAAAAACTTTCAACAATTTCTCCATTAACGGTGTATATCTTTGCCAAACAATTATTCTTAGCACAACGCCAACGAATTTTTCCTATATTAAATAAAAAGAAAAACAAATTAGGCTAAATAATATTTAAAAAGTGGGAAATATAACTTACCGCATTTTAAAACTCGACCTTTTTTAAATTTTGCCCCACATACCGCACACATTTCAGTATTACGTTAAAACTTTTTCTGCATTCATCTTTCAAAGATTCAGTACAAACTAAAGACATAACTGGATTTCGCCTATTTAAATATAAATAAAATTGCGGATTATACAAACAGGTCAATTAAAGAAAAATAAATATTTGTGAGGTAAACAAATCAAAATCATTAAATTGACTGTTAGTTCCGAGAATTTTCCTTAAGCCCCCATACCCAACTTACCCTTTTTTAATCCGTAGGGTCAGGTAAATAATCCTTGACCGCGGGCCCAATTTACAAACGCCCGTCTAAAATACCCTTCGCATAGGAACAATGACAAGATACATTAAGTTGTGGATTACAACAACAAATACCTACAATAATGATAATTGGGGGGTCTATCCTACTATCCGGAGGTGCGATAAATACTCAAAAGGTACTAGTTTTTTTGGTACATTTTTGTAAAAATAATTAGGGTTGAAACAGCATTTTTCAAAAAAAAAATATTAAAAAACTCAATTTTACAGGTTATATTCTCAAAACATTTATTCTGACAGATTGTCTTGAAAATAACAACGTTGCCAAGTTGTTAATGAAATTATAAATTTTAGGATTATTTTATGATCTGTAGATTGCAAATTATGTTTAATCAAGAATTAAAAAAAAAATTCTTTATTAGCATGTTATCTCCCAGAACGATGACATTCAAAATATGTAGATAATAGATATGTGTTTTAAATGTTTTTGAGATTAAACTACATATTTGTATAATTTTTAATAAAAAAGCTGAAACTGTTCGCGTATGGGACCCTTAAAATTAATTTTTTTCATAAAATAAGTTTTTTTAATTTGTTATGTCGTAATGTACTAAAAATTTATTAAAATTCAAAAAATATTTTAAAATTATATTTATCACCCTATACCTCAGAAGCTAAGTTCCATCCATTATTTTTTTTTTTTTTTTTAATTTGGTGTCATCGGCGTCGACTACTGCGGCCTTTAGCCTCGTGTTCTGTGTAGGCTTTGTTAGTGTTTCCCAGCGCCACTTTAGAAACATCACTGTTAATTAGAACCCAACAGTGAATGGTCGAGTGGGGAATCCTACCAAGGCATCAGAATTAATTTTAAATAATTAAATTAAATGAAAAAATCCCGGCCAACGGTGGGATTCGAACCTCAGACCTTCCGATCTCAAAGTCATGACTCTAACCACTGAGCCAACCCACCCCCCTCCATCCTTTATTATTTTTCATTTTAAGATAATGTATAAATGTCCCTACATTTGTTAAAGCACTTATATATTTATAAAAAATAATCTAATTCTTTACCGTCAAAGTCGACTGTTCCTGAACCATCTGTATCAATTTCAGCAATAATTCCATCTAATTCTCTAGCATTTAGCTTGTCATCAAGTGCTCTTAAGATTTCTTTAAGGGTAGCAGTAGTGATGTAACCATTCCCTTCTTTATCGTACAATCTAGAATAACATATAGAAAATCTACTTAGGCATTAAAACTAATAATTAAAAGAAAAATGGAAAAATAATTATCTCCCGGTTGCAAGAACGCTCTCTCAATAGTTAATGACCCCATAATATTATTGGACTGTGCGTAATTTGTAGTTCATTTCATTCGTACAGAGCACATTCTCAAGCTCTGTCAAAGTTTATCTGGCCCATTAATTTTAATTAACGTTATTGCAACCTCCTGGTCTGGTATACCTCTTCAAATAGTGTTTAAATTTGAATGTGCTTTAATATTATATTGAGTTTCCCATATTTTTAGATTGTTGGAGAAGTATTTAACAATTGTTAATTTGCAATTTATATTAAAATTTTAATTTAATTGTTTTACCTACCTAAAGGCTTCTTTTAGTTCCTGTTGCGTCGACTCATCGTCATCTTCTTCAAGAAAATGTGTAGCAATGCCACAAAAACCATCAAAATTTACTTGTCCGCTGCGGTCAGGATCATTTATTGTAATTTGATTGTTCAATTCGGTTTCATCGAAGAGTTGACCCATAGTGTTCAAGATGGTAGCGATTTTAATTGTTTCGATGTGGCCACATTTTTTGGTGTCAAACATTTGGAAAGCCTTGCGCAGAATGGCCATTTTTTGTTCCTCGTCATTCTAGGAAAGAAAAATAACATTTTTTTACTACTAACATGAGAAATCACCATTATTTACTCCATTCCTCTAATGAGAAGTAATATTTCTCTCCCTAGGTAAATAATGATAATAAAAAAAAAAAACCTAGGTAAATAATGAAACTAAATTTCATTAGTTTCATTTTGTTAATTTGACAACTAAACTCCCAGACTACTTGATATTTTGAAATATTTGAAAAATAAGTAGGAAATAACTAAAGCTGGGTTTATTAAAATCTAATCAAATCAAATATGATAATATATATCAGTGTTAATAGTAAAAATATATATTAACTAGGAAATTCAACACCAGCTTTAAAAATTATTAATTAATAACAATAAATCCATGTCATTAAAATATCAAAAATGCAATGGGATATTTCCTAGAATCATACCAAAATTTGACACATGCCAAATTTTTACATAAAATTGCTAATACATTAATGTTAGTAGTAAAAAAAATTCTATATATACCTCGGCTGAGAAAGCTATTATTTACCTCGCACATTATATCCCTCGGCGCTACGCGCCTCAGGATATAAAAGTGCTCAGTAAATAATAGCTCACTTCTCACCCTAGGTATATAATGTACTATTATTTTAACTTTACTTTAAAAAGTATATTATTATATAACAAAAAATATAATATTACGAAAAATATTTCAGATAAATTGTGACTTATTTCTATACAATTTCTACTTATTATTTTGGAAGAATATTTCTTATTCATGTTTTTCAAATCAAATACAGTTCATCAAATTTCTAGAGGTGTTCGACGCCCAGACAGAGAACGCGCTACGTGTGACTAAGACAGCTATTGTACAGTCTGCTAAACAAGTTATTTTAAATAGTTTTTAATATTTTTAGGTAATTAAATTTTAAAAGTGTGGAATAGTTTAGGGATTAAATTGGCCTGATTGGACTTTCTTAGAACGTTTTTAAAAGCAGCTAAAGATAGTATGTAGAATTGAAAATAATTATTATGCCATAAAAGGTGTTTTGGAATTCCTTCAACCTTTTGAAATTGAGTCAGAAAATATAAATTTTATAGGATAGCGGAAAATACCTATAATTTTTTTGTAGGCCTTTGTAAATCGTGGAAATAGTTTATATTTTATTTCTACCTTATTAAGGAAAATGGTACCTATTATTAATAACGGGTGTTTCTGAAACATTACTAAAATTTTCCAAATTTTGTTTTTCTACAAAATAATAAACTATACTATTTAGAAAAAAATTTATTTCTCTTACAATTTTATAAAAAATAACAGTGGAATATTTACATTTCTTGATCTATTAAACAAAACGATAAATTATCTCGACGAATGACACCATGTTCTAGTACGGAAGCTAGCTTTACATTTTTGTTGGTGGTTTCATGGGTTTCATATCAATTTTTTGTAATTGTAGTTTACATGTACATATACCTCTTAACACTTGTTTGCTTTATTAAAAAAGTGTGTTGTTGTGATTTACGTCGAAATAAGTCAAAAACAACTTGAAACCCCATATAAAATCAAAAGGAGAAACGGAAAAAAATTGAGCCTGTAAATGAACACAACTCAGAAACAAAAATAGCTATCTAATAATAAAAAAATAAAATTTGATTCTTGTGCAGCTTCATCTATATCATTAACTGTTTTTGGTTTTTTAATGGTTTTTCTTGGTGATGAAAATTCCGATATCTCACGGTTATCGATTCTTTTTTTCTCTCCAGAAATGCGGACGACAGTGTTTTTAGATACTCCTGTGGCTGCAGCAACACGATCATTTACATTTTTAAATGGTATTGAAGGTGAATTAAAGTTTCCTTCTCTTCTCATAAACTCTATAACATTGGCTATTATTTCGCGAGATTGACTGTTAATCACGCGGCCTCTTAATTGGCTATTAAACTCCATACTTAGGTTCTATTAAACTGTAATGAGCAAAAAACACAAACGAAAATAAAAGAAATGTTTTAGCGAAATTTACATCTGACATTTACGTCTGAATGAAATAGTGAAATACTTGATGTGCAGAGTGTACTTTCATTGCGTAAATCCGTCGGGATGCCTGTCAGTAGTGCTTTCTCTGTCTAGCCGTCGAAAGCCTCTAGAAATTTGATGAACTGTACCTACCTAGTAGAATTACAGCTAATATTTTTAGATATTTCTCTTGGAGGCTACAGAACTAAATAAGTTACTGGGTTTTCAAAATATACTTCTTGTCTCAGTTTTTTTACTTGTCAAGTCTTTTTATACCCATTCGAATTTCATGTATTTAAAATTAAGATTTATTTATACACTATATGTGAAAGAATGTATTAAAAGTAAAAAAAAATCGTAACATTGAGTACAAAGTATTTCTCACAAAGGGACCAATTTCGAAGTGATTACTTCATCATCATTCACACCTAAATAAAAAGTCATGGAGTCAATGTATTGAAAGGTGAAAATTATTTAATTCAAATAAAAATTGAAAAAAATTGCTTAAAAAAGAACGGAAGGGGGCCGTAAATAATAATTTGACTTACCATGACAAATCCATTACGGATAAGTTATGTAATTTTAACATAAAAAGTTAAATTAGTATCTCTTAATATACAGGGTGTCACAAAATTCCGTGTCCATAGATCTACTGTATGTTGGTGAGATCAAAATAAGTCGATTAAGTCAAAATCACCTATATCACAAAGTGCTTTGTTTGTCTGTCAGGAAGCTTCAATGTTCAAACAAAACTTTCAATTTATTTTAATAACTCAAAAACGATTCGTTCTATTTTAATTAAATTTGGTATGCCGGTATTCTCATTAAAAATCCATTGTTCAAAGCAAAAACTACATTAACTAAAATCATAGAAGGGTAAGACCCACCCTAATCCTACCATATGGAGAGCTGTATTTATTTGTAGCATTTTTTATCTCTCGCTAAAAAACATGTATCTATGTATCTCTCATGGTATTTGAGTAAAAAAATTTATGGACTTAAAATTTTCAAGAAAATTAAGTTGGCGGTTATAACTACCGCAACCCGCACACTGTCGATTTTAACGTTATTGCAATAAAGACAATCATCAATAGGCATAGGTGTTGATGTTATTAAAACACCCTGTATTCTAAAATACTAATAATAACTATACTAATAATAAAATAATAATAATAATAGTAATACATAAAATAATTGATAACCCTGTATAATAAAATTGATATGAAGTCTTAGGGCTCTTTCAGACACAACGGTTTTGTTCGTACGGAGAAAATTTGTACGAATTTTTTCCGTGTCTTGGTAGATTTCACACTCGACGGTTTTTTTTTTTTCGTGAACCGTCTTTAGCTATTGTATTTTATGTCAGTTGGTTATCGACATGAATCGAAAGCGCACCATTGCCATGTGGCTTTTGTACCGTTATATACAAAAGTATCGGAAACGACATAATCGCATATATTAGGTGCACCCAATTAATCTGAAAAGAGATGAAGTGGGCCCATTCATTTGTTTAGTGGAAGATTTACGTGCAGACAAAAATACGGATGAACATTGTATTCTCTGATGAACTTCATAACCGACTAAAAAACAATATTCAGCGGCATAATACTAAAATGAGAAACTGCATTAAACCTATGGAAATAATAGTTGTGACACTGAAGTAAGAGAGTTCTATGTTTGTTTTGTTACTAGTTTATTACCTACAAAATCAAAAAATCAAAAAAAATTCAATATGTCAAACAACTAATTTATAATACTGTCATTCATAGTCATATTGACGCGTAAACCAAAATACAAAATATTTATGATAAATAAAAACCAAACGACACGCAATAACGGACATCAGACGGCTAAAAATCGTCATATATGAAAGGCTGCATAAAGTTACATAGGCCACTGGTAGACGGCGGCGGTACGGTACCGTACAATTCAGTCGTTGACACGGCTGTTTTCAAATCGACCATACGGAAAAAATCCGTCTCCGTCCAGTATGGAACGCCGTTTTACTTTTTATTCCTAAATTTTAATTCAGTCATTTTTAAACACAGAACAATTTTAATCATCTCATTTTTATGTTTGTCTAATTTTTTCAGTACTATTAAAATATTTGTTCAAAAAAAATTGTCTATTTAAATATTTGATGAATAAAATTGTATCTTGATAAAATTGTGTAAGTTAAAAATATTTAATAGTCATATTTAAAGCTTTTAATTTATATGATGCAATTAAAATTATCAACCGTCATTTTAATTCGTGTAACATTTTAATTCAACTAACATAAAAATAATAAATATTTTTAGTTAAAGAATTAAAATGATTGTTGAAAATTTTAATTCCGCATTGTTTTGGATTAGGTAACTATATGTTCGCAAAGAAAATAGCAACAATCATTTTGAATACCTTATTTCAAATGTTTGTTATTTTTTTGTTGCCTGAATTAAAAGGTTACACGAATTAAAATGACTGTTCATAATTTTAAATGTATCATATATATTAAATGATTTAAATATGACTATCAAATATTTTTGACTTACGCAATTTTATCAAGATGCAATTTTATTCATTAAACATTTAAATAGCCAAAGTTTTTTGAACAAATAATTTAACAGAACTAAAAAAAAATAGACAAACATTAAAATGTGTTGAATAAAATTGTTATTTATTTAAAAAATAAATAACCAAAACAATTCAAAAACTTACCTAAATATTTCAACATTAATTTAAATACATTTTTATTTTAAAAATGTTTGATTTAATCTAGTGGCCTATTTAAAATATTAATTGAAAAAAATTAGAATGTATAAGTTGTCTATTGAATAAAAATGCAACTTTCTAAATCAACCCGACTAAAGATTTCCATTGTTTACCTTTTACACATGTAATTTAAATGTAGGTTCTAAAATTATCAACAATCATTTTATTTCATGTATCATAATAATTCAACGAACAAAGAAATAAACAAACATTTTAAATAAGGTATTTAGATGATTGTCTACAATTTTAATGCCTACATTAAA